TAAATAAATAAATCTTTTTTAAAAAAAAGATAAATAAGGCCAAGCTCACAGTCTTGGAGGGCAAGACCAGTGAACAAATCATTAGGTGGATGGTGAGGACATGAAAGCAAGTATATGTGGGTACAGTGAGGGGGGCTGCTTGTGCATGCCAGAGAGGGCTTCACTCCACTCCTTCACATGAGCTGGGGCCTGAACCCTGCCAGAGACACAGGGGCTTGGGAGCTGGGTGTGGGGGTAAAGCTGAGAGGCCCGTGCCCAGCTTGGATCCCTTCCAGGCTTGTGTGAGTGTGCACACGTGTGTCAGGGAGAGACAGGTTGGCAGAATACAGGTTAGGAGACAGAATAGGGTGACCTGGGCCTGGGGCAAGAGTTTTGGTCTAGGGGCAGAGCGCGCCTGGGAGAGGACTGCATGGCCGCGTGAGTGCGCCCAGTGCCGCTGAAGACTCTTGGACACGGTTAAGCTGCTACTTTTATGTTATGTATAATTTACCTTTTTTTTTTTTAATTGTAAAAATGCTGTCCTTACAAAAAGGACAGGCGCTGGTCAGAGCCCTACCCACAGCCCAGGGTTGTCAGCAGCACTATTAACATCTGGGGCCACAGGTTCTTGCTGGTGGGGGCTGTCCTGCACCTCGAGGATGTTCAGCAACATCCTGGCCCCGACCTCCTTGACCCTCCCCCACACCACGTGGCAACCAAGTGTGTCCCAGACACACTGCCAGATGTCTTCTGGGGCAAAATGGCCCAGGGAGAGAACCCCGCCTCCTCCTGTTTGGAATAAGCTGCTCATAGGAGGGGCTGTGCCCCAACACCCTCTGAATCTGGCGGCAGCATGGGGGTGGACAAGTCATGCCTGGAAAGAAGGCAAAGATCAGAAAATTCGGAGGGGCTGGGTGGGAAGGGGCAGTGCGCAGGGTGAGGAGACCCGGAATCAGGCCTGTCTGGGGGAGTAGGTGCTCAGTGAACGATTGGGTCAAGTTTCACTCTACTCTTATGCCCCAGTTCTACCCCCTCCTGGCCTCCCCTGAAGGGAAGAGGCTGAGGGGTGCTACTGCAGGTTCCATCCTGCGCATCTCCTGCCCCCTCCCTGCAGCCCACAGGGGAGAAGCAGAGGAAGCGAAACTGTCACCTCCAGGGGCTGGCGGTGCCTCCTAAGGGGACTGGGGGGCTTCTGCCACTCCCCCACCCAGGTAATGAGAAACGGGTATCTCCTGGGTGTTTTCTGTCTTCTTTCAAGGCAACTGACTGTATGAGCACATGCAGACAAAACCAGAATTTTCAGCAGTTACAGCTAACATGCAGCAGAATTGAAATTCCCTCAGCCTGTGAGTGACATGGTCTCTTTACCTAATCTTGGGCATTACGGGATTAACTGTGAGTCCCGAGCCCTGCCAGGGCCTACTCCCCTGAGTCTGCCCTTTAATGGTGAGGGGCTGGGGTATGGTGAGAGGAGGGGATGCAGGGCCCAGCGGCCGCCAGGGGTGTTTTCTGCTACTCCCACCTGAACACTTTAGGGAGCACCCAGCTTCTTCGGCGAGGGGGTGGGGAGTGGGGCAGTGCGCGGGGTGGGTGGTCACTGCGCTGTTTGCCTGCGGGACTTCGGGCCTGCTTCCTTTCTCTGGGTGGTTTCCTTCCAGTGGATTTGACTGGCCCTGGTACCTGGACCCCAGTGAGAGGACCAGTGAGGGTTACCTTCTAGCTCAGGGGGTGGGTAGGAGAGTTCTTGATGGGCCAGATGGATCAAGGATCGATGATGGCAGAAGCCATCAACTCCCCAGCCCCAGAGCACTGGGTGGCCCGGTCTCTTGCGGGACCAGAGGGCAGGCGATGGCAGCTGGCCTGGCTGGGGAAAGGTGGGATCAGGGGTTTCAGCCCCTGAACTCACCCCAGGCTGCAGCTGTGCGAAGGGTGAGTCCGCAGCTCTGGAAGGATGGGTGTCTTGTGCTGCAGTGGGGTCTTTCAGGGCAGGCCTGGAGAGGGGCTTGATGGGTGTGATAGGGACCCTGGGGCCAGGTTCGGACCCAGCTAGTGCTCCTGGGCCTCTGTACTCTGGTGCTAGCAGTCAACAGGAAGTGCGTCCCAGGTTGAGAGGAGGCCGTGTGGTCCCCAGCAGGAAGTGAGGGACATCGGAGTTGTCTCAAGCAGCTCTCTGGGGCCTTGGGCCCGGGAGCCTGCCCCAACTTGCGGTGTCTGTGGAGCATGATGATGGGAAAAGGACATGGCCCTGGGAGAGGCTGGCTCTGATCCAAAGTCCTCAGCCCAAGTGGCTTGCCAGGCTCCACAGCATCCTCTCTTGGGGTGCCAGGTTTGGGGTTCTGTGGTGTTTAGAGTTGCGTGACCTGAGGTGGCCATGAGGACCGGGCATGCTCCACTGCCCTGGCTGCCTGGGCTTTCTTAACACGTGGCTAGGCTGAACACTGAGGGGTGAGAGGATCTGCAGAGGGGAGCAGCCCTCTTGGCTTGAGCAAGAAGGTGAAAAAGACCAAAGACTGTCCGAGAACTGACTGAAGTGTGGGATCCCTACACACAGATGAGGCTGAGGGCTCCACCTGTCGTCCTCCCGGCCCTCCCAGCTTTTGCCCTCTGCACCTAAGTCTAGGGGGGGAGATGGCGCTCTTCCTCAGGGCCTCTTCCTCTTGCTGTGACACCCTCATCCTCCAGTTGCAGAGGGCTGTGTAAGTGTGCAGCTCTTGAGGGAAATGTCGTGGAAGCAGGCTGCCCAGGCGCCCAAGGCTGAGGAGGAGCAGCTGGAGTTCCTGCTGTTCGCCCCCAGGCTGCTCCGTGTGCTTGGAGCCTCTTTCAGGGGGATGCTAGTTGTGGGTGTTGTTCTCATTGTTTTTTTCCCCCAAGGTGCTGTCCCTATTTGCCACTTCTGAGAGTTCCTCACCAGACAAGAACAGCCTTCCAGTTGAGGCCCTGGACCCATAGAGCAGACCATCTTTGGAAATAGTCAGGCTGTTCCAGGCCTAGGAAAACCAGAGCTCTCTCAGGTGTCAGGGTACCCTTGAGTAGTGTGGCTTTTTGCAGAGGGCGTGGAAGCATCTCCTTACAGTTAGATGGCATGCTCTTTACCCCCGCCTGTCCACTTTTGGGGCCCTGGCCTGCAGGAATCCACAGGCGCACAGAGCTGTGCATGCAGGGATGTTGCAGCGCAGAGCAGATCAGGCCAAGGAGCCACTAACTGTTGGGGTAAACCATGGCGCATGTAACCGCGAGACTGCCAAGACTGCTCCATAGGCACTGGCATAGAGAGGAGCCTCTGCTTGATAAGTGAAAAGGCAAGTTGCAGAACAGCATGGGGTGTGAGACTCGTAGGGGAAGAGGTTCTGGATCTAGATGTGTGTGAGAGTATATGTGTAGACACACGTAGCTTACACACAATTTCAGAGGCATGAAAAAAGTCTGGAGAAGATGCTCTCCAGGCTATTAATAATAGCTAATCCCTCCCTTGTAGGAGGGAGATTGGAGGTAGGAAGTTGAAATAGGAGCTTTTAACCTTTTAATACTGTTCACTTTCATGTGGCTTAAATTTTTATAGAATGTACTTGGCTTTTAGGAATAGACCAAAAGAAGACAAACCACCTCCACTGATCTAGCCATCATGTCTGAGGTTGGGAAAACCAAGGGGCACTGGTTTTGCAGCTTGACGTTGCAGGCCAGCGTGTTGACCGAGTGGACATCCCCCTCCTCCAGGATGGGCATTTGCAAGTAGAGCGCCCTGCTGGGTGGTTGAGGGCAGCCTGGGGCCTGTGGGCATGGCTGGGCATTGAGCACAGGGTGCACTTCCCTCTTCTGCCCCAAGCGGACGCTTCCATCTCCTCTGAGATGTCCTGGCCCACCATACGCCAGATGGCAAGAGCAAGGGGCTCGCACCGGGATGTCCCATGCTTGCTCTGTCCTCACAGTGTGTGACCTCGAGCAAATCACAAAAATCTCTGAAAACCTTTCTAGGAAGGTCAAGAGGATCTAGAGGGGTGATGGGTGAGAAGACACTTTGCCCACTGTGCAGTGACGCTTATGTATGTAGCAAAGCCAGCTCTTAGACTCTTGGGGATAAAACATACATTTCCTTTTGAAGGATTAGAAACTGAAAATTGCTTGTTAGCACTCTGGCTCTTCTGAGGGGGCCAAAGCTGCTAGGTAGGGCCCCCACCCTGGTATCACAACAGCTTAAAGCACAGCACTGCAAGCTAGCCACAGCCACCTCAGTGCAAGTTCGATCCCCAGCCCTGAAGGTGATCCACATGGCACAGCAGACCTCTTCTGACCTGCCCGCTGCTCCCCTCAGCAGTGTACTTTTCGATTTACCTGTTCTGCTTCCTACTCTGTCTCTGGTGAATCCTCTCACCGCCCCTGCACCTCTGGCCTGTACCAAAGGTACAGTTCTGTATGCATAAATAAACCTTTTTTTAAAAAAAGCTGCGAGGTAGTGGGGCCCAAAGGGATGTTTCTTCTAACCCTTCCTACCCCTGGAGGGCCCTTCTAACTCCTGGCCCCCCACACACCCGCCAGTCAGTCAGTCAGTGAGTCTGGACTTTGACAGATTCAGAGAGGAGCTGGTTGGGCTCTGACAGCCCAAGTCAGATTAGCTGGGGTTGTCATAATTGGTCTGGTTGGTTCTAGAATCTTCTAAAGTGGGTCTTGATTTGAAGGAGGGAAATCCTAAGACCAGAGAAGGCTTGGAAGCCCTGTGCTGCATTAGTGAATGGGGCTGGGCCAGGTGGGGTAGGAAGCAGAACCGGACCTATTGGGTGCTTCTCCTTTTTGTATAAAGCTGTACTCTACACACTCCTTGACCTCAGGAGGCCAGACTCCTGTATCTCAAAACAAAGAGTAAAATCATGAGGGTTTTGTTTGTGTGAATGTTTATCTGAACAGTTTTCTGGAGAGAGGCATGTAATATATAACTTCCACCAGAATTTCAGGGATGTCAGTGACCCCAACGAGGCCAAGATCACTGGTCTGAACCTCCCCTGAAATACCTTTCTTTTTCATCCCAGGTGGAAAGCAGTGACACGCCGAAGGACCCTGTGGTGACCTCCAAGTCCCCGTCCATGGCCCAGGACTCAGGCCCTTCAGAGCTGTTACCCAACGGGGACTTGGAAAAGCGAAGTGAGCCCCAGCCAGAAGAGGGGAGCCCCGCTGGGGGGCAGAAGGGCGGGGCCCCTGCAGAGGGAGAGGGTGCAGCTGAGACCCCACCCGAAGCTTCCAGAGCAGTGGAGAATGGCTGCTGCACCCCCAAGGATGGCCGAGGAGCCCCTGCTGAAGAGGGTGAGTCCCTGGCACCAGGGGCAGCCTCTTCTGGGCTCGCCAGGATTCTCCTCAGCGCTAGAGAAGTGGGGCCTAGGAGGCCCCAGGAGGCCTCAGTTGGGCCTGGGAAATCCAGGCTGTGCCCTGGCTATTGGCTGGATCCACACAACACATTTCACTTGATCTGCATAGTGTTTTGAACATTTGAAAAAAATAGTTACCTGTATTTAAAAATTGAGAAATTTCACATAAAAGTCTACAGAGTTTGGGCTTCTCTTGAGGTGGAAGGGAGGCTAGCTCTGGCAACAGCATTTTCGTAAAATGCCAGTAGTTGCTCTAACGAGGTGATGGCTGCTCCTACCCCACCCCACCCAGCTCCAGTAGGCTGGTTGTCTGCCTTAGTTTCCCTTAGTTCCTGCCATTCTCCCTCAGCTGCTTACTCTCCCGTAAGATCTGTGGATGCTAAGGATGTCTGTGCGTACAGCCCTGGCCTGGGCGCTCCGGGGCAGCAGACGCCTGCGTGGGCACTAAATGCCTGCTGGCTTCTATGGTAGAGCTGTCCTAGGCCCAGCGCCGTTCAGTTGCCTACTGAAAATCTGGCAGTGACGGGGATGCAGGAGGGTCGGTGGGAGTGGCCCAGCTCAGGCCGCTCCCTCCGGGGGGACTTCTGGCCTAGCCCCAGAGTCCTGGAAAGTTGCCCGTTTTTCTCTTTCAGGTTAAGCCAGCGATTTCAGGGCCAACTGAGCTGTAAACATGTTAGTAATGAGGACAACTAGCATTTGTACAGGGCTTCGCAGTTTACAAAGTGCTTTCTCATACATTATCACATTTGATCCTCCTAGGGCCCTGCCAGGTTGCTTTGCATATGTGCATTTTAATTTCAGAGTCTTCCTTCCAAGTGTGTATGATAGGACGAGTAAATCGATTAATTGGAGTAACTTACTTTTTACCAATCCAAACTGTGCATATATAGACAGCATCTCCAGAAAAGAGCTTTCCAAATTTATTTTAAAATATCTCTCCTTCATTTATCATCCAACTAAACGATGCTCCCACTAGGTACAAAGTCTGTTTTGAGGTATTTTGCATGTGTTGTTTTAGCTACTCTGTCAGTCTTTGAGAGGCATTGTTACCCCATTTTAAGATGGGGGTTGGAATGGAGATTCAGTGCGATGAGGTCACTGACTCAGGGACCGCACATCTGTAATGGCAGATGAGGGGTTTATCCCAGCTTGGCTTGGGCCCTCAGCTGCCTCTGCTGTCCTGCAGCAGGGCTCAAGCTCCCTGACACCCCCATGCCCTCCAACCTCCTGGCTTATGTCCTGACGCAGGGTGTGTTCAAGGCCTGGAGTGGTAAGTGGCGCCCCGGCAGGAGGAAGGGTGTGTTGTGTGTGAACGCAGACCCGGGGGCCCTGCCAGCATCCCTGCCTTCCGGGCTGCTCCCCTCACGCCATGCCGGCTGACTCTCAGCTTCCTGGGACCCCATCAGCGGCACCCAGCTGTTGCCCCGGCCCTGCCTTTCCTCCTGCCTACTGCAACAGAGCCGCAGCTTCAAGGCTGCTCTTAAGCCTGGAGGCTTTGCTTGCAGTTAGAGATTGCATTGCTGTTTGTTCTCAAATGCTTCTGCTTCAGTCAGTCCACAGGTGTTTCTGAGACACCCAGGAAACCGTCATGAGCAGAAATCTGGTTCTTGCCCTCCAGGACCTCAGTAGGCTGGGGAGAGACATTAGTGAGAAACCCACACTTCAAAGTGTGTGATTACACATGGACATAAGTTCTCTAAGGGAAAATAAACATGGCTCCTTCGTGAACTATAATAAAGGAGCCCGAGCCGAAGGATGGGCCAGAATTCACCATGTGAGGGGTGCTGGGGACTGGCTATGAAAACACGTATCAGGGCTCCCAGGTTCTAGACAGGTGTGGCAGGAGGAAGGGAGAGGATGCAGGTCAAGGGCAGAGCAGTCAGGGCTAGGGCACACTTTCAAGGCTGCCCTCTGCTTTGTGTTCCGAAAGATCATGTTGCCATCTGGATCCTGGAATGGAAGGGAGGGCTGGGGCGCAGCTGAGTGGCTGGAGGCTGCTGCGGGCATGGAGGTGGGTGGCTGCGATGAGCGAGCAGTAGCGAGGGGGAGTGAGATGGCGTGCCAGGGGCTCCAGGGGAAGAGGGTTAGGACTGTCACACACTGCTTGGGTCCTCCTCAGAGTCTTGGTGCTGAGCATGCCACTGAGCTCCCAGCCTCCTTGGTGTCCAGCTCCTTGGAGCTCTCCCGTGTGGTCGCGGCAGGTCAGGAAGTGGAAATGCTGTCAGGGATGAAGCTCGTGGGGACGCCTCAGGCCACTGTGAATTGCCCGGATGCTGACACTGGCGAGGCGTGACCTAGCGAGGTGGGCAGTGGCCTATCGGAGGCTGGGCAAACAGCCACACAGAACGCACACTCAGCTGCTTGGTTCCAAGGCGGAAGGAGACTAAGGCCCCAGGGAGGAAGTGACTTGGCCGTGGTCTCCTTTCAGTTCCCCTCATTCAGGTTTCTTTTCAGGGGCCCCTCAGTCTTTCCTGGAACCCCATCTCAGGACCATACAGGAAAAAAAGAACTGTAAGGCTGCGTGCCTGTGGCTCAGGTGACCCCGTGTGCCCATGGGGGTCCCAGGCGTGTAGCGCAGCGTGGAGCAACGGGGCGCAGGGTGATTGGAGTAGCAAGCACAGGGAGTGCCTGGGTAGACGCATCAGGACTGCTCTGGCAGCGCCGCCTTAGCGCCTGTGCCATGTGGCCGGGTGCTTCTCTCACAGAGCACCGGCATGGTGGTGCTCTTGTCCCTGTGCCTCACAGTGGTCCTGAGACCCGCGGCGCCACCTGGGAAATTGGAAATGCAGATGCTCAGGCCTCACTCTGCATCAAAATCTACATCTTACTTTATTTTTGTAAAGATTATTTATGCATACAAGAGCTGGGGTACAGGCCAACGGTGTGGGGTAGGGGACTGGTGAGAGGATTCACCAGGGACAGTGGGGAGCAGAACAGGCAGATTGACTGAAATGCACTGCTGAGGGGAGCAGCGGGGGCGTCAGGAATGGTCTGCTGCGCCGTGTGGGTCAGCTCCCTGGCCGGGGATTGAACTGCTGAAGAGGCTGCGGCAGGCTTCATAGTGCTGCTCTTTAATCCATTACACTACCAGAGAGGCCCCTAGAATCTGCATGTTAAAGAGATCCTCCTGATTTCTAAGCATATTCAAGGTTGAGGAGCCCTGTTCTTCATATACGTCCTCATTCTGTCCATATGATCGCGTGAGCAAGACTCAGCTCCATCCCTGGGATGGGGACACTGAGGGTTTAGAGAAGTTACTCACCCACAGTAATACCGCTAGTATATAGCAACTAAGTTAGATAACCCAAGACTAAAGTCTCCGAGTAAAGGGCCAGCCTGCGGTCAGTGCATGTTCCTCTCTCCCTAGATTGAGCATCTAGAGTTAGATTAGTGACTGGCTTCCCCCTCTCATGGAGATGTTGAGGTTTAGGGGATCTTGGGGTCTCCTCTGGTTGAGTATGGTCCCAGATCAACAGGTAAGTGTTGTAAGCACCTGCCCCCAGGGCCTCAGATGCCTGAGGGTCATGCCCAGCCTCCAGGGCCCCCTCCACACAGCCACCTGGCTGTGCCAGGATCCTGTGTCTGGGCCAGAAGCAGATGGGCTGCAGTGTTGAGAGAGCAGCTGACCCTCCTTCACCCAGGTCAAGTGCAGCATTCAGAGGCAGCCAGTTTGTTTTGCTGCTCACCAGAGCTGGAAAGGATGTATATGGCATCATTCAAGAGGGCACACAGTCTATCAGGGAGAAAATTCCAAAGAGAATGCAGTTGGACATGGCATACAGAAAAGTCATTCTGTTTGGAGAATGGAGTGTAAGGGGTAGGGAAGGGGAAACACCAGGGTGGTACAGCCTCAAGCTGGCTGACTGGGGAGTCAGGAACCCTGAAAATCTGATTTTGGCTTTGGTGGTGAATCACTCCATTCCCCGGAGGCCTTAGTTTCCCTATGGGCAAATCTAGGGACTGAATCAGTACTCAGTCATCTACAGTTCCATAGCCCGGATTTTCTCTCACTGCAATCAGTAAATGACTTCTCATAAGTCAAAGGACTTGGAGGATCTCCTGCATGAACCATTTGAGGTCCAAAGCACCCTGGGGGGCAGCCAAAGGCGGTGCCCCCTTCTGGTAGCCCAAAGCCTTCATGGGCAGCCTGCACAGGGGGTGAGGAGGAACCCAGAGAGGCCAGAGAGAACCCCTCTCTGTGAGGATGGACAAAGTCAGATGAGCAGAGAGGGCCTATGGGAAGCATGGAGGGAGAGACCATCTGGCGAGACATGCCTTTGAAGACCTTCGCTGGACACGTGCTCAAGCCCCTACAAACACGGGCGCTCCCTCCTGGGCTCCCTCGGCAACAGCTGGCACTTCGGGGAGCAAGCCCACACGCCAGTGTCCTCACATCCAGCCCCCACCCTGCTGCCTCCCCCAGGCCTTCCCACTCAGTGCTGGCCCTGGGCCCCTGGGGGCAGAGGCAGTGAAGAGCCCTGGTCTCCTTAGGAGAGAGCAGGAAAGAGACATCCCCTCTGGGGCTGAGGATTCAGAGGCCTGCAATACCTCTGATTTCCGCTTCACAGCCAGGAGATGCAGTAGGGGCTGTTTTTTCCGTTTTTGGTTCTTTGTTCCCACCCCCACCCCCTAAGCTCCCCCCACCCCCAGCTGTCAAGAGGCAACCTAAGTGACCTTCCTGCTTTGGGCCCAGTGCACTTGGCTTCAGAGAAAGGAGTTCAGAGGCCCAGTGAAAGGAGGACTCGCCCTGCCTTCGGCAGGAAGCTCAAGAAGACATAATTTTTGAACCCAATTCTACCACCAGGACCCCCACTGGGTGCTGACCAGGAAGGGGTGTTCTAGAGGAGTGCTGGCAGAAAGGACAGGAGAGGAAGAACCCCCCCCCAATTGTACCCCAGGCTGCTCCTCCCAGGGGTCCCTTCCCTTTCAGAAAGCCAGGGCTCAGTTGAGCTGCAGGGAGGCCAGGGGAAGAGGAGCAGGGAATGCTACCTTAACCAAGGCAAGCGGAACACAACGGACATATATTGAGCACCTACTGTGTGCATGCCCCGCCCTAGGCACTTGATGATCACCATCACCAAGCGGTGGTACCGGATGATCTACCTTGGGGAAACGGACTAGAGGGGTTACAGAGGGCACATGGAGACAGGTGAAATTGAAGCAAATGCTTGGGTGTGTCAGCCAGGAAGGCTGTACAGGCTGGCCCCTCCTCTGGGAAGGGGAGGAGTGGGAGAGTGGGTCTGGGGCAGGGGGTGGGGAGGTTGGGTCCCCTCTGTGTGTCTGAGACAGAGTCAGTGGCCAGCACCCACAGCCTGCCTTCTCTTTGTTCCTTTGGATTTGGGCCTCCAGCCCTGCTCCAGTCTTCTCTGCTCTGGTTTGTCCCGAGTCCCCAGTGCCAGCACAGAGCCGGGCATAGGGCAGGCTATCAGGCAGACACACCGGCAGCTCCGTATCACAAGGGCCCCACCTTGGCAATGGGGCTCCCATGCACGTGGTGGGCCTCTCAGCCACTCCTGTAAGACAGTCCCTTTGTTCTTCCCTCTCCACAGGCAAAGAGCAGAAGGAGACCAACATCGAGTCCATGAAAATGGAGGCAAGTGTTGTCCCCACTCCCAGGGACTCTGTGGATCCTGATTCTAGAAGAGAGCCTGGCTCTGAACTGTGACTGGGGAGTGTCGGGGGGAGGCTGAGGGGGCCCCTGTGAGAAGGATGGGAGGTGAAGGCTGGAGGTCCCCAGCAGGCCAGCCAGCTGGTCCTCTCAGTGTCAGCACCTTCCTGCCACGCTGCCCTCACTGCCTCAGCCCAGGCCGGGGCTTGCCCAGCACTCACAGGGCTGGCATCTCTGTCCAGAGTGCCTGCCTGTGCTTGAGGCAAGTGCCTCCTCAGTCCCCTTCAGGAGGACGCTGCTGGTGCCTGTCCTAATGCTGTTGTCTCCTCTCTCTGTCCTAGGGCTCCCGGGGCCGGCTGAGGGGTGGCCTCGGCTGGGAGTCCAGCCTCCGGCAGCGGCCCATGCCGCGGCTCACCTTCCAGGCGGGGGACCCCTACTACATCAGCAAGCGCAAGCGGGACGAATGGCTGGCACGCTGGAAAAGGGAGGTGAGGTGCCTTCTGGCTTGGGCCCAGCCCGCCCTGCAGAACCAGACAACCACATGTTAGCTTCAGCCACCCCCTGGGTCTGTTGTCTGGCCCTGCCTGAGCCTCAGTATCCTTTTCAGATTAACTTCTCTTACTTCATAAGAGACTGGTTCCTTTGTTCTTTCAACAAATGTCTATTGAACACTTACCTTGGACCAGGCAGTATTTTAGACTCTGCATGTGTAGTCCCTGCCCTCATGGAGTTGGCGTTCTGATGGGAGAGTCCAGTAGAAACAAGCAAAACAGAGGCCTGCAAGGCCTGCTTTATGTGAGGTAGTCAGGAGGCTTCTTGGAGGCAGCAGTAATGAGACCTAGAGGACAGAAGAACTGGCTCTGTGGGTGGGATCTAGGAGCACGTGCAGGCAGAGGAAACCGCACAAGCAAGGCAAACTGAAGTATCGATGTGCTCAGAGTGAACTCAGCAAGAGAGAGGCCAAGGGGTCTGTGGGGAGCAGTGAGCGTCCAGGCCAAAAGCTGGTTTCATCCTGCTGTACTGGGAAGCCACTTTAGGCAGAAGGACGATTTACTGTGGATGATCAGGGCAGCAGTGGAGACGGAGAGGGCAGAGTCCATGGGGTTGGTGAGTGCGTGGAGAGTGTCAGCGAGGAGGAACAGAGTGAAGCTGTTAGGGGCCCACCCAAGAGAGTGGGTCCTCTGCCCTCGGGGGAAGGAACTCTCCTGAGAGTACTGGGTGTAGTTGAATGCAGGTTTTTTAGGGACTCATACAGCAGAAACCAGTGCTGAAAAGAACTTTGCCTGGCTTCAGAGGGTTTAGGTGGGGATGTTTAAGGGTAAGTCCCTCCCTCCCAAGAGGGAGGCTAAGGAGTGCAGTGTCACCCCTGTTCTGGGCGCATGCAGTGGATGCACCTCTGGGCTCTGGGCCTCCTCCCTCAGAAGTTCGTGAGGTAATGGTTTGTCAGGGTCTGACACCTTTTTTTTTTTAAGATTTATCTATTTATGCTTATAAGCACTGGGGTACAGGCCAGAGGTGCCGGAGGTTGGGGGGTGAGGAGATTCACTAGAGACAGAGTGGGGAGCAGAACATAACCCCTTGCGCCACCAGGGACCCATGGTCTGACACTTTCTGCCGTGATGCGCCTCATGGTGGGCCAGACTGGACAGGCTCCCCGGTCAGTCCGTGATTGCTCCACCTGTTCAAACAGGGCTGGGGCAGCGCACCGCACCCACCTCCGCTGTCTCAGAGCTGATGGAACTGGAAGACCAGGCGGCCAGGCAAACAGTGCACCAAAGGGTGGGTTGGGCTGTTTTTGTGCAGCAGGATTGGTAGAGAAGCTGTTGACCAGGAAGGGAGCAGAAGTGTCCCGGGCTGGTCCCGTGCGGCTTGGCTCTGGCTGGCCTTTACCAAGGCCTACAGAGGAAGCCAGTGGGGTGAGAGTTCGCTCTGGGGACTAGAGAAAGTTCAAAACAAGGCAAGGGCTTGGCTGCTCCACTGTTTCCAATTCTGTGGGGATCTGGGAGGCAGAAGTGACTCTCCTAGAAGAGCCTGGGATAGGGCTGTCTGTCCGGGACTTACTTGGAAGCGAGGCCAAGCGTTGAGTGTGATCTTTGGGATGAAAATTCAGGAACTGGGCTATTCTCTCCTGTGCAGTGGCCCCAATCCTGGGCCTTCACTTTAACCCCTCATTGTGTGTGATGGTTTCAGCTCTACCTTTGTTCGCTCCGGGGCCAGAAGCTTAGCCATAATATCTTTAGACCTGAAAACAACTTCTAGAAATTTTGTGGTTCTCAAACTGTGCTCCTTTGAAAAAGCAGTATGGGAGGTCTGCCCATAGGGGCAATAAAAAAGGGGGTAGGGGCAGGAGGATGTTTTTTCTCAACTCAGCAGGAAAAATTAAAGTGTTAGCTGTTTACTCAGTCTTAAGTTTCCCACTGAAATCTCAAGGCTTTGTAATTATGAAGCTCTTGTAACCTATACAGAAGTAGAGAGAACAGGAACTCCCCTCCCAGCTTCAACAATCATCATGTATTTTCCTAGTAACTCTTAAACCTTTGGCCTCAGCTTTCTTGCCCCCATCCAGCCAAGGACACCAATGAACATTAACTGCAAAATGTGAAACATTGATTTAATTTGAGCTATCTTGGGCATGTGGACTTGAGCTGTGAAGACCTACAAACACAGTTTATTTTGAGCTAGTGGAATTGCTGCTATTCGCCTGCTGTAGCTGAAGCTACAGAATTCCACAACTTCATACAGTGTCTGTGCCGCTGATGTCCTGACTGCAGGCTTATGCGCTGAGCGGGGATGGGCAAGACTGGGGTTAGAATTTGCCCTGCCGCTTGGCCCTGGTCCTGAATACCACGCTCTTCCTTCTTGGGCTGTGCCATGGGGGACAGAGGTGGGGGCGCGGACTAAGAGCAGGTAAGGAGAATGTGGAGTTAGCTCTCAGGGTTCCCAAGTTCCCGTGGACTGCAGAGTGGCATTGTCACATCCGCCTGTGTTCTCAGGGGCAGGCTTGCCAAGGATACAGAAATTCACCTGCTTTCATGCTCAGCTGGTTCTCAGGTCTTTGACTCTTTCTTCTGAAACTGCCTCCCCAAGCCTGAAATTCTTCCCTGTTTTCTCCAACTGTATGTCCTCAGCATCCTCCTCTGCTTCTATAAGGGACATCCCCAAGCCTCTGGCCCCGCTTTCTGCCGTTCTGGACCCCCTCGCCACTTGCATCATGTGGGCCTAGGTCCTGCCCCTACCGCCCCCCCCACCCCCAGATCCAGCTGTTTCCCAGGTGATGTCACTGAAGGCCCAGCCATCCTCCCCTAGCCTAGTTTTTAAAAGTTCACAGAGGGCACTGTTATGAACTGATTACCAGAACCTTCCATGAATGAGAGTGCTGTGTCTTAACGGAAGCCTGGAGAATTCCTAGTTATCCATGATCAGATGAGGGTCCCTGGAACCTCGAGAAGAGCTTCATCCTGAGCACTAATTGTGCTTGGAGCAATCCACAGCAAAAGGTGGCTCTGGCTTTTAATGGAGGAAGCTAGAAGAGACGGCAGAAGGGTGTGCAGGATGGTGTGGCATGTGTGGCCTTCCAAGTCACGGGGATGTGGCCTCTGTGTGCTGGGCTGAGAGCTGCAGAGATGTGGCTGGGAGAGTGGGTGGGGAGTTTGGGCAGCCTGGGAGCTTTCCGCCCTGCCGTGGGGCTCTGCACCTGCCCCTTTCCCTGGCCTTCTCCCCAGCCTTCTTCCACCCCCCCCCACCCGACTTCCATTTCTTTTTCCCAGGACCACCCTTGTCAATAAGCTCAGTTACTGAGATCTGCTCTTTTCTGTCCATCCAAGATGACCTACCTCCCAGATTCTCTCCGCAAAATAACTTCCTCCCCCAAATTTTTAAAGACTTACAATACCACAGAGTGAAGAATGAAATTTAAAGTAAGCAAATGAGGACAAGACATTCCCTCCTTCCCTGAGATAGAAGTGGGATTTGCCTTCACTTTCAAGGGTTACATTTGTGTTAATCATGAACAAACACTCATATGGACCCCACACTGTACTTGAGCCAAGAAGACCCTTTCTAGACCTAGCAGAACTGCCCCCCACCCCCTTCACACTCTCACCTTTGCAGGGGAGTGGAGATGTGGGCTTGTCGCTTACCTGGAGGTGGGTGACTGTTAGCCTTATGGGGCTGAAGTCCGGCCCCGGACACAGCTGTGCACTGCTCTCCTCATGTCCTCAGAGCCGCACCCACTAGGGTTTGTTTTCTGCTCTACCCAGCTCAGCGCCTGCGGCCTGGCCACCTCTGCCAGGGCTAGCGTCGGGGAGGTAGTGGGCCACGGTCTGCTGCAGGAGCAAGTAATTCTCATCCAGCGTGGTGAGCATTGCCAGGGCCGCACAGGCTCTGGCACAGGGCGGGCTCCACTAGGGGCTTGATAATTCTTAAAATGAGTTTAAATACTATACAGATACATTCCTGGGGAAACAAATCTCCCTCCCCCTTCCATGATTTTTAAAAAGATTTATTTATATATGCATACAGAGCTGGGTACAGGCCAGAGGTGCAGGGGCGGTGAGAGGATTCACCAGAGACAGAGCGGGGAGCAGAACAGGCAGATTGATGAAGTACACTGCTGGGGGGAGCAGCGGGGGGTCAGGAGGGGTCTGCTGTGCCATGTGGGTCAGCTCCCTGGCAGATATGCCACAGCATTGTGGATAGCTTCATAGTGTTGCACTTTAACCCCTTATGCCACCAGGGAGGCCCTTCTCCCATGATTTTAATTCCTCCTCCAGTGGCACCTGGTGCTGTCAGCTTGGTGTATGTACAACAAGATTTTTTCCAGGCACCTACATTTGTGTGAATATATACTTTTACTTCAGTTGCTTTTTTCTCCCTTTTCCTTTTTTACGTAAGTAGAACCACACCACTTGGCTTTTCACTTAGAAGAAGTCTGGTCAACCGAGCCACGCACTAAGTGTTCTGTGCACCGTATGGACGACCGTGATTCTATTAACCTTTCTCCTGTCAGTGGCCGTTACGTTGTTCATGGTATTTTATAGCATAAGCGTTGCAGGGTGTCCCGCCTCTTTGTGCATCTGTGTTTCTCCGAGATACCTAGAAAGAGAGATGTTGGATCGTAGGGATTGTGCATTCTGCATTTAATAAAATCTGCCAAATTGCCCTCCAAAACGGGCCGCGCCAATTTATGCTCCTGTAAACAGCGTATGAGAAGACTTCCACCTTTGCCAACATCAATATTTTGCTAATCTAGTGGGTGTGAAACTGGTATCTTGTTATGATTTTAATTGGATTTCCCAGATGATAAGTGAGGTTGAACATCTTTTCATATGGTTATTGGCCATTTGTGCTGCTGCTTCTGTGAGCTGAGCAAATGTTGCTTCCTCTTGCTTTATAGCCCTGCAGTCGCAGCAGACTGTGCTTCCTGTCTGCCCTGGGAGAGCAGCCTGTGAATGTCCGAGGGTCCTCTCCTGCTGGGCGATATTCCTTT